AGAGGCATGAATACAGGGGCGGATCCAGGGGGTGAATTGGGTGAAGTTTCACCCCCTTTTCTAAGCAGTTATGTCTTCAAATTTCATAATTAAGTTGTTATCTGTTATGTTTATTTGGGTGGTAGTGGTAGTGGTAGTGGTAGTGGTAGTGGTAGTGGTAGTGGGAGTCAAAATGGTGATGATTATGGTGGTCAATTTCGATACTCGGATAGCCTCTATGGCAGTCATGAACAATTTTATGATTGCTTATTTTATTCAATTATGCAGGTACGGATTGTGGAAAACCTGATACCCCCAAAGCTCTACGTGTCAGATTGAGCGAGGGCACAAAATTTGGAAGTGTTGCCCGTTTTTCTTGCAAAGGGGATCAGTATACACTACGAGGATCGAAGAAACGAGTCTGCAGAGGCATTGGAAAGTGGGATGGAAAAGACGCAAAATGTAGTAAGTCCTATTTCATCTTAAATACTGATTTGATTTACAAGTGGGTGAGTTAGTGCCCGAGAGAGAGTAATACAGAGGCAGAGAAATGAAGGGAGCTAGGACAAAAAGAAGAAGAACTGAAGAAGAAGAAGGAAGGGAAGTAGGGAGCGAATGAGTGCCAAAGCTGCAAGTATATCTGCTTTCATATGTTCAGTAAAATAAATGTTGAACAGACCCTTTCACGGTTTCTGCGCCATCTTGAAAGGTAGCCGTGCCTTTGCATCGAAGCGAGACGAACAGTGAGATTGCAATGATAGACATGTGAAAAATTGTTCAAGGTGTAAAGAAAGTTCTCTATCATTGCAAGCTCACCGTTCGGCTCGCTTCGATGCAAAGACACGACTACCTTTCAAGATGGCGCAGGAAACTATTTTGCATTGCCCTGTACTAAACAAACGACCGGCCTATTGATTTCGTTTCAAGGAATATTGTGCAAGCATCCTGGGGATATTGCATACGGTAATAATAATGGCGATAAAAAGAATTACCGTGTTGGAGCCACTGTGAGATATTGGTGTTTCCCTGGATATGATATGGAGGGGCAGAGTGTAACCGAATGCAATAACAAGGGAAAATGGAAAACACCACCACCCAAATGTGAAGGTAGGTGTACACTGCTGTCGTAGATTGAAGAAATAAATAAATGTATGCCCCAACTGTGTGGTTTTCTGTGTGTTGACAACATGTCTATTTAGACTTCTTAGACAATTTGTGACAGTGACTAGTGTATTAAAACTGTGCAGAGTCAGAAATGAATGAGATGGAATAAATGAATGGATGGATGGATGGATGGATGGATGGATGGATGGATGGATGGATGGATGGATGGATGGATGGATGGATGGATGGATGGACGGATAGATGGATGGATGGATAAAAAAGTTGGTGGACTGGATACTGCAATGGGATGATATGGCAATAGTGGTAGCTTGGGGGATTGAAAGATGATTGGTTGTGATCAATTAGATATGACGGATGGATGGAAAAATAAACAGATACAATATACTCCCCGACAACGTGTTTAAATCCATTAGTGAGTCGTCGTCTGGAATCTAATTTTTTCATTATTTCCCTAGCACCATCTTGTTCCAAACCTATACCACCCGATAACGCCTTCATCTACAGCAGACAGAAACTGAAAGAGAAGTATAAATACAACGAAGTGGTCAGGTTTCGATGTGAACACGGTCACTACACTTCTGGATCGTCATTCCAGAGGTGTCTCGCTAGTGGATGGAGCAATTCTGATTTCAGATGCATCCGTAAGTTCACATTGACGGATTTACCTCTGTTAGGGGTTAACGTAACTTCAAAAATATTTCCAGCATAATTGCAATATAATTATATACGCATTATTCCCAGCGAACAACGTATTTCCACACCAAGCAAACGTCCAAAAGGTTGGACGTCTGTTTCCTTTTAAAAGCCTATTTGCCATTGTCTTTAAAAATAAATCATACATCTACTGCCCCCCCCCCCTCCCCCCAAAAAATTGCCTATGGTTTCCTCTATAGTCCCCTTGCAGCACGTTGAAATGCAGATCAATTTTGAGGACATAACATTAGGTTTCCAATTCTCGTAAGATTGACATTCTTTTGTTTTTTTCCCCTCCAAATTAGGTTGCCTTTCCGTCACATGCATGGGGTCTATTACCTCATTACTACGTCTCAGTGCACTGCCTTTCATGAAGTGGTTTATCCTAATCATAAGCCATCAATTAGATTTACCCAGTTATTGTAACTATGTGCTTTATACGTTTTAGCCAAGAGTTGTGGTGATCCTGGTAGTCCTGTCAATGGCAAAAGACAAGGCTACGTCTTTACATTCAAGAGGAAGGTGTATTTCAAATGTAATCGAGGATACAAGCTCGATGGGCCAGAATACAGACAATGTCAGGCCAACCAGAAGTGGAGCGACAGGACACCATCCTGTGAACGTAAGATGAAAGTTAATTGTAACTTCTCAGTTTCCTTTCCTTTTCTTTTATCTCCTTTCTCGGGATTTTTTCTCGTTTCACCCCTTAATACATCAGCATTATTGTTCTCATGGCAGCAATAAACTGTGGTCGTCTGGAAGAACCAGATGACGGCGAGAAGATAGAAGAAACTTCTACATTCTTTGGAGGTAAAGTCGTGTTTGATTGCAAGAAAATAGGTTTTGAGATGAAAGGATCTAAACAACGTTTTTGTCAAGAGGATGGACAGTGGAGCGGAACCAATACTACATGTGAACGTAAGTTTTATTTATTTGATGCTGTACCAAAAATGAAAGAAAAATCCATTACGGCAATTTTATCATATATTAAACACGATATAAATTCCTACAAATGTTTCCCGAGAATGAATACTTTATATGAATACTTTAAATTCTTTTATGAATACTTTTGTCGCTTTTACACGATTAAATGATAAATGCGTCTTTACATTCTTTGAAGTTAATGCTAAATGTATTTAAAAAACTTTGTGGAAAATATTTCTTAACCTGACTTTGCGCAATATTTTACTACTCTGATTCAACAGAAGATAAGTAAGACCAAATAAGTTACTTTTTACGTTCTGCATCTCATTTGATATCTTGCATCTCATTAGGTATCTGTACAAATGTATACTACAACCTTTACTACAAGCTTTAACTTGGGGCTGATCTGCCTCACAGATCGAAAAGACAAGATTATGAAATAAAATAGTAATACATATAGCAAGATGTAGCAACATAAGGCATAACATTTTCCGGCATTTATTTCTCATGAGTTCTTTTAAAGAAATTTGTGCCAATTCAAAAATGAGCATTAAATTTTGCTTAAGGTGTTGAATGCAAGGATCTGGGAACACCTGGTAATGGTGTCAGAAAGCCAGACAAGAATAAATACGTGTATGAAGACAAGATAGAGTTCAGATGCAACACAAACTATACTTTCATTGGAAGGCAATTCGTAATCTGCCAAAGCGATAGAACATGGTCAGGAGCTGTACCACGTTGTTTAGGTAAGGGGACGTGCAAAGAAGCGATTACATTGAGCAATTTTCTCTGCAACTTGTCACAAGAAGTTGCAAGAGTGTTTAGACGGTGCAATGGAGACACAATTGTTTCCAAAAGTAGAAACAAATTCAACTTTTCGCAATGATAGATGCAGCATGTCTCGCAATTGTTTTTCAAATTGCGACGTAAGTAACATGTTGCAACGCTCCATGCAACTTGTGTCGCAACGCCGAGACAAGTTGCAGAGAAAATTGCTCCATCGTTAATTGCGCCTTAAGCGAGCCTTATTCATGAGATCGAGATCCCTTAAAATTTTTTTGCAACATACCAATCGTTTGCCTTTAGTATTTTTACATATTTGTGCTGAAGTACGTTGTCTTAATTCTTTTTTTTTTTTTGTTTGTTGTTTTTTTTTTGTTTTTGTCCTTTCAGCTCCCTGTAGAGATCCTGGTATACCAATTGGTGGACATCGATACCAACATTCATTTCTACACAACAAAATCGTTCAGTTTAGTTGTAACTCAGGATGGACAATGGATGGTTCACGTACAATAAGATGTACCGATGGACGATGGGATCACGATTCACCAACATGCAATAGTGAGATTTATTTGCTTTATACAATTGTTTTGTGTTGGTGGGGTTTTAACTACGTTACTGATTATTCTAAGTTATCTGTACGTTTTGCTGAACGGCAATGTGCAAAAATACAATGATATGCTGCAACAAAAGTAGAGCAGCTTCAGTTATTACTTCCTCGATGCATTATCATTATTAAAAAAAACATATTTTACAATAATCAATCACCATACGGGGCTTTTCCTTGAGGTTCCCTCCACACGCACTACCACTACATTCTATATTTACAACATCACAGGGGCGGATCCAAATTTAGATGGGGGTGACTATTACAAAGGTTTTCGAACTCCAGGAAAAGGGTGGTAACTGTTGCTAACTATATACTGAGATATTTGAGCAAAAGGGGGTTGACTAGTCACCCCCTTTACCAACCCTGGATCCGCCCCTGATACAACACTTATAAAATCACTTATTAAATCACGTGTTTCCTTTCAATATACTAGGCCAAGTTAAGCAAATTCTCAAAGTTGCCGTAGGAGAGTTTTGGAGTTGAATCTTTGGCAGAAGCAAACGTATTTGCGGCACACCAAAATCCATTATCGCCCGCTGGGCGCGCGTTTTCAAGAGGGCAGTTTGTTGTTTGGCCTTGTATATTGATGATAATTGTTATTAAATGAACGTATACGTAATTGTATTCGCTTGTTGTTAACACACAGAGGCATGTTTGAGGCCGAATAAGTATCCTGTCAATGGAGGAATTCGAGGTTCATATATTAGTTACAGACACAAGTACAGCATCAGATACTACTGCAATAGAGGATATAATCTTGTTGGACAAGAATATGTAAGATGTCTGAATGGAACATGGGAGAACAAGCAACCAACGTGTAGACGTACGTATTTTGAAATATGCAATGTAAAGAATCGAAAAAACATCCAGACTTTTTTGTTTTGATAATTTTTTTAACTTGACCTGTTTTACAATAGATTGTTAAATATCCTTGGTTGAATAGAAATGTTTGTGAAACTGTATGTCAATCTTTGGATAACATTAGGGCATCCAAAGCAACCTGAATATTTTTTATCGAGCGCTGAAACAACCTCTTTGCTGATCTAGGTCAGGGCATGGCACAGATCGAAATCTGAAACAACCTCTGGACTGATCTAAGACAGGCCACAGCTAACTCACAGATTAAACTCTGAAACAACTTCTGGGCTGATTGAACCAAGGAAAACAATTTCGAAACAATTACTGAGGGTGACACTTAATGAGTCCACTCACCGCATGTGAATCCCAGGAAAGTTTGAATAAAGATCCCATGGAGTTGAGAAGAAAGCCGTGCACCACCGTTAAAACTACCTTGTTTAACTTGAGTTCATGATAACGAGTTTGTCTGGATAATCTATTTTGTTTTCATTTCTTAGCTGTTGAGTGCAGGGACCCAGGTAAACTTGTAAATGGTGGCAGATATCCAGACAAAAGCAAATACGTGTTCAAAGACAGTATACGGTTCCAGTGTAAGACAAACTATACGCTGAGAGGAGTTCCTGCCATTACTTGCCAACATGATAAAAGATGGTCAGGAAATGTACCAAGATGCTTAGGTAAGACTAGAAGCTTCAAAATAATTTGAATCTTCATAGAAATACTGGAAATAGTCTTTAATATAGCTAGACTCCATTTATTTTGATAGCTATCATTTTATCTGCGAAAACGACTTGTGGCATATTCTGGCTGCCGAATGAAATTTGATGTAAAATTACTAATTAGTAGCAAGTGCCGCAGCCATTTTCAGTCATGATCTGCAGTTGAACAAGAATAATTGCATCTTTAATAACAGCTAAATAGTTTCTGAAGACCAATGGTAGCAGCTTCTTGCAGCGTATAGAGAAGTAAACAATGTGTATTCGTCCATCATTTAGATAGGATCGCGCCTTAGGTTGATTTGCTCAAACAAACACTATTCCACTTAATATAATCGCTAATTCCTTTCAATCTTTTTTTCTTAGCTCCCTGTAGAGATCCTGGTATACCTAACAATGGCCAACGTTATGACCACTCGTTCTTACATTATGCTAGAGTAAGATTCTCGTGTCGAAGAGGATGGAACATCGAGGGTTCTCAGACTATCACATGTAATGACGGAAACTGGGATCATACAACACCAGAGTGCATGGGTAAGATATCTATTAGAAGCAGTGTATTAAAAATATCATTATTAGTCATATTATTAATGTAACTAATGCGTTGCATTTTTGCGAAATTGAAATTATTTTTTGGCAATGCATTTTCTTTCTTTCTTCCTT